GTATACTCGATGCAATCAGTGTTGGGTTTGTGTTTTGTGTCAACTGCGTCAACTTTCCACATGTTCTGTTTGTAGTGCAAGTTTTGGCTTCGAGTGTAGAGTGTAGAGAGCTGCATAGATGGCCTTCGTGATTCTGCCAATTCAGAAGCAAAGGCTCCGCAGGAGCAATCAGTTCGACATTGATGTGGTCGAGTTGCAGTGGCGCCTTTTGAGAACTTTCCCCACATCGAAGCTGAGGTCCAAATACTACTATTTGAAGGAGAGCAAGCAAAATGCAGCTCACCAACTTGCAAAATCACTGAGGGATGAGCTGAAACGAAGAAATGTCTTCGTGGCATCAAGTGTAGAAGATTCAGATAGCGGCAGTGATTGAGCATTTGTTGAACATTAATTAGCATTGATTTGTCCCAACGTGTGATGAAACACGACTTTTGAATTTGCACTATCTAGCAAATTGAGACCAACTTTGAGACCAATATGCATCTTCAAAAAGCGTGTTGCTAATTCAAGACAGAGCGTCCCGAAGGCCGCTTGCACACTTCAAACAAAGAAACACATTTAGTTTGCTATACTTGTGGAGTTTCTTTCACATCATTTGGATTGAACCATTTTCGGGACATTACTGAAAGCGACAGGACAAGGTTTATTAGACAAACCAATGCTTGAACCAATTGTTTTGATAATGTATTCATACTTTTGGACATTGGTTTTGGATTTGATGATGCAGTTGAATCATGATATGAATGAGGATTTGATGCCCGGTACTTTCAAATCATATATTGGCATAGCTTTGTTTGCAGCCGTCACCCACTGCTCAAAGAACAGTCCCTTGCTTGTTCACCATGAGGTGGCAATGGACTCCATGCAAAGCTGGCGACAACCATGTGGAAATGCTTGGAGACGAAAGTCTCGAGTGGCACACCGTTGGGCCTGTGAGCAGTGGCAGAATGCAATCCTGCTTCGAGAAACAGGATGTTGGCTCCATCTTCTTCGTCACCGTGCGGCCCTTGGTCAGCTACAAGTGGGAGTGCTGCGAGTGGTTCAAAGAGGGTGGCTTATTGTTTGAGAAAGGCACGGTGGAGCCAAGGACTGACAACAGGTTTTTGGCTCGCCCACGGCCTCAGCATTTGTCGACCAATGGTGGAGTGGCCAAGAAGAAACCTCGCAGGACCACGCCTGTACTTGAGAATGACAAGGGCAAGGAGAAGACTACGAAGGATGGCCACAAGCTCGGCATTGGCAAACAGCATGTCTTGAAGAAGCCAGCTGCGGGAAAGCCAATCACCCCCAACAAGAAGTGACGTGCTGAATAGATCAGCTACATAGATCATCTACAATGATGTGCTTTTTGGAGAAAAACAATTTCACAGCACAGCGGCCTTTGGGACGCTCAGAAGCATTCATTGAAATTGTTCAAGGTGGCTGATGAAGGTTTTGCTGAGTGATTGAAATGTTTCAAGCGTTTCGATGAAGATTTTTGCTGAATGTGTTTGCCTGCTCGAAAGCTGTGTGTTTGTCTTGACAATGTATCGGATTGTTCTATATACAACAGCGGCAAGTTAGGTATAAACATCGAACATGTTTTCAAATTAGATAGATCAATAATGAACAATACACTGAACACAATACTTTCACTTGTCCAGTCTCAATATGGCTCAAACATGAGGATATTGTATACTCAAATGTTTTTGACAAACAGTAAAAACACAAGACACCTTCACCACATTTCCATTGGCCATGGAGCTTCTCGAACAGCTGGCAGAGGAAAGGCCAAGAGATGAAGAGGTGAGCAGCAACCCCCGGTCATGCAGAGCTTCGGTGAAGGCTGAGTCAACCTCCAGCAAAGCAGTCAAGGAAGAGAATGCCTTTTCAAACTCCAACAAAGCAAAGAGCGAAGAGAAGGAGAAGACTGTGGAGATCGACCTGGACCAACAGACCAAAGTCAGTGCTATCACTGCTGCCGAGGACAAGGACTATGATTCCGATGCGTCTGGTGGCTCTGAAGCTCCAGGGATCACCCAAGAAGAAGAGTTCTGGCTCTCTGCAGTCCCTAAAAGAACGGCCCGCCAAAAGGTCTGGGAGGCCACAGGGCGCAAGAGGAGAAGGGGTGGCCAGAACGTGGACTACTACAACAAGTGGGCATACGCACCCCCCGAGAAAAGAAAGCACCAGCCAAAGTGACTGGCACAAAGGTGGCAAAGAAAAGGGAAAAAGAAAAGCGGCCTTCGGGACGCTCTGCAGTCACGGCACAAGAACAAAACGAATGACACATTAACAACTGCAACAACAAAACAAAGGCAAAGCAACAGCACACACAACAACAACACACATACGTACAACCCCACAACGTGTACAAAATATGTTTCCACTTTTTTTGTTTTTTTAAAGTTCTACTGAATCCTACTTATTTCTACTTATTCCTACTTATTTCTACTTATTTCTACTTATTTTTTGACTTATTTTTACTTATTTTTACTTATCGAACTTATCATATAAGTTAAAACAAGTAAGATTAAGTACCTCAAGTTCACTCAAGTAGCAGTCAGTCAGGAAGTAGGCACTTTGCACCGCCTTTAAACCCCCCGCGCGGCTTCAAACCCT